TTTGACTATGATTTCTTAGTTGGGTTAGACTGTATACAAAAATTTCATTTAACTCAAAATGAGAATTTAAACATCATCCAAAATGTCCTAACCAATAATAATAGAGACTACTTAGAAAATAATGAAAAACAACCCTTAAACACTAAAGAAATTCCTGGCAGTACAGGTAGTGAAATAGGGAATAAACAAGATATATATTGTAAAAAAAAAGGTGTGGACATAACAAAGAAAAATAAAAAAGAAACTATTGTTCATGAGTTTAGTATAAACTTTAATGAAAATATTATAGTCGAAAATTTTAATATTTCAGTAAATAATTTAAACCCACAGGAAAAATCTGAAATTGATAAATTGATATCCAAATATAGTTCAGTTTTCGCTAAAGACAAATATGACATAGGGACTGTTAAAGGTTACGAAGCTCATATTGATTTGTTGATAGATAAATACTGTAGTAAAAGACCGTATAGATGCTCTATTGAGGATATGAAAGAAATCGAGCATCAAGTATCAAAATTATTACAAAATAATTTAATCGAGGAGTCATATAGCCCTTTTGCCGCTCCGGTAACACTAGCATTTAAAAAAGAAGATGGAAGGAGAACAAGGCTTTGTATAGATTTTCGCGAATTAAATAAAATTGTAGTCCCCCAATCGCAACCATTTCCGTTAATCGAGGATCTGATGGTTAAAACAAGAAAATGTAAAATTTTTTCAACATTTGATGTAAACTCTGCGTTCTGGTCTATACCACTTAGAATTGAAGATAGACACAAAACGGCATTTGTTACTCAAGAAGCACACTTTCAATGGACTTGTTTACCTTTTGGCTTGAAAACTTCTCCCGCTATTTTTCAAAGAATACTGAGTAGCATAATAAGAAAGCATAAATTGTCAAACTTTACTGTCAATTACATTGACGATATTTTAGTATTTTCTGAAACATTCCAAGAACATATTAAGCACGTGTCTTTGTTATTGGAAGCAATTTTAAAAGAGGGTTTCAAATTAAAATTTACAAAATGTAACTTTGCGCAGGACTCTGTAAAATATCTAGGGCATATAATAAAAAACAATACAGTTACTCCATTGAAAGATAATTTGATTGCCATAAAAGAATTCCCAATTCCAAAAACACAAAAAAATGTCCGCCAATTTTTGGGAAAAATTAATTTCTATGGAAAATATGTCCCAAATATTTCAATTATATTGGATCCTTTACATAATTTATTAAGAAAAGGAGAAAAATTCGTTTGGTCTGATAAATGTCAAAAATCCTTTGATACAATAAAAAAACTACTTTGCTCAAAACCAATTCTAGCTATCTTTGATCCAGACTTTCCAATACACATTTATACAGATGCTAGCATTCAAGGTATAGGTGCGATTTTAAAACAAATTCAACCTACCGGTGATGAAAAACCTTGTGCATATTTTTCAAAAAAATTAAACGACTCCCAAAAAAGAAAAAAAGCCATATATCTTGAGTGTTTGGCAATAAAAGAGGCAGTAAAATACTGGCAACACTGGCTTATAGGAAAAACATTCACGGTTTTTACAGATCACAAACCTTTAGAAAAAATGAATATTAAAGCCCGAACGGATGAAGAACTGGGAGATTTAACGTACTATTTGTCGCAATTCGATTTTAAAATAATATATTCTCCAGGAAAATATAATATAGAGGCAGATACATTAAGCAGAAACCCAGTGTTAGAACCGTTTGAAAATCAAGACAGCAGTTTAAAAGTAGTAAATTTTATTAGATTTCAAGACATTCAAAATGATCAAAATAATAATGAGGATATAAAACAAAATATAAACAAACTTATTTTCAAACATAATATATATTATAAGAAGATAGGAAAATATGAAAAGATAGTACTAACTGAGGAATTTAGTAAAAAGATTATAAAAACAGTACATCACCACTACTGTCACATAGGAAGACAACAAATGGAAAAAAAAATTAAGCCTTTTTATCAAGCTAAAAACTTGTTAGATAATATAAAAAAACATTGTGAAAACTGTGATGTCTGCTTAAAAAACAAATCTAGAGGAAAATACAAATTTGGACTTATGTCTCACTTAGGTCCCGCTACCTACCCATTCGAAATAGTGTCCATAGACACCATAGGGGGATTTGGTGGTGCTCGTTCAACTAAAACATATTTACACCTTCTAGTAGATCACTTTACCCGCTACGCTTTTATTTTGACATCCAAAACACAGAATGCGAGTGATTTTATAAAACTTGTCAAAAAAGTAACACAAGATTATAAAATAAACTTAATTCTATCAGACCAATATCCCGGCCTAAATTCAAAGGATTTCAAATTTTTTTTAGAAAAAGAAGATATACCTATAGTTTTCACAGCAGTAAATGCGCCATTTTCAAATGGATTGAACGAAAGGTTAAACCAAACGTTGGTTAACAAAATTCGTTGCAAGATTAATGAAAGAAAGGACAAAATTGCTTGGACAACTATTGCTCACGAATGCACTGAAAGATATAACGAAACTGAACATAGTGTGACAGGGTTCTCTCCAAAATATTTATTGGAGGGAAAAAATGTTGACATTCTACCAGATGAACTAAAGCAAAATATAACACATAATCAACTATTCCGAGACCGAAAAAATGCGTTAGAAAATAGTATGAAATCCCACAATTATAATAAACAAAGATTTGATAAACACCGAAAACATTATGAATTAAAAGTTGGAGATTCTGTATATGTGGAAAACGGAAACCGGTTAAACCGAAAAAAACTAGACGAATTGAAAATAGGACCCTATAAAATAGAAGACAAAATATCCAATTCAATCTATAAAGTTAACACAGGTCACAAAAAGCCAGAGTCGAATCTCTTTCATATAACAAAACTTATTCCAGCAATAGAGTGACACAATAGACCTTTGTAAATTAGAAGGGGGGGAGATGTAAACAAAGTGCGTGACACTTCATTTAGTTTGTATAGTTTGGATTTGCAGTGTAAGGTATTTTTGATCTGTGAAATAGCTAATCTGTGGAGTAAACTGTCATATTGAATGACTGTGAAAAATATGAAAAGTAAAATGGTTAATTGTTATGTACAAGTAAGAATTTTAATGTAATTAGAATAATTGATAAGAACTGGTGAAACAATAGCTCTAAATGTTGTTTCTCTTTTCAGGTAAAATTAGTGCATAGTTATTATTAAAGAATGTTTTGTAAAAGTTTTAAAACTAGATTTTGTAAATAGGTAATAAAATAAAATTGTCTCTTTTCAGAGCAACTAAAATTTGGTTATAGTTTTACTGTTCATCATCATCATCATCATATCCAAGGACAATATAATAAATAATATCTTATTATAAATGGTTGTAACGCGAATGACATTAGTCTTAAGTAGTTTTAAGTTGACTAAACGACGGGGAGGAGCTTGAAAGAAAAAGAGCAAAAATGAGACATTTCTAAATACTGAACATCCTCCCCAAAATTTAACTTTAGTTTCTAAATCTAAACCAGTACTTAACTTGCCATCTCGCATTTTTGAAAGCACAATTTATCATGTTTTGTAATAGTAATAAGTTTTGCTTTATTATAATATTTAGTTATCTGTCACTCTCTGAACCTGAGGTTGCTATCACCAAAAAAACAAGTGTTCATTGGTAAACCAAATTGTTTCTTTGTTAGATTATGTTTAATGCTATGTAACATTACAGCTTGCTTGTAGCTGGGCCTAAAGAGAACAACTGAACATCTACGAACATTCTGGAAAGATAACAATTTAATTTCAAATGCTATCAGTTGCGAAGCTTTAGGCCCTTTTTTAGTGCTTATCAGTGCTTCAGAATAATATAATAACTTATATAAACTAAACCAATAACGTCCATTATACAAGTTATATCTATAAATAATCTAGTTGTAAATAATTGTATTGTTATCTAATTGATCAGATTTTATTGAAGAATACGCCTGAAAACGCCACCGAATTTAAATGTATTGTTTTATAATGCAAGAAACAAACTTGGTATTGTTTTAACATGGTTTGTGAATATCTCCACTGAATATACACATTTATATCTACATGTATTCTATAGAGCTCTGTAAATGTTGAAGGTACATGTATATTTAAGCCATCGCCCATTTTTTATTTAGATTACTAGTACGTCATAGCGACACGTAAAATAATATCATTTTGGCCTTTTTTAAACGTGAGAGTTCAACGCTTTTGCAGTTATAGGGAATATTTTATGATTTACAATATAAGTTTTTCTAACAAGTAATTTCTACTTTATTTTGTTGTTGTCTTCCATTTGAATTTGGTTAGGTAGGTACTTTATTATGTGCAAATATCCGTTAAAATTTTAATGACCGGCAAGATACTGTTGTTGGAAAACCACTTATTTTATTTATCCAGCGCTTTCGCTTCGAGTGTTGATTGGCGGCATAAATGCTAAAATTATTCTTCCATAATAAAATTATTCTTGTAAACGGGCATAAGTAAAAATGTTATCTATGACGTACTAGCACTCTGTGTATAGTGTAAGATGATACAGTTGCCAAAATAAATGATAATAACATAGCTTCTATAGCCAATAAACAGTTGTACATACAAATATTTATATGAAACATGTTGATTAAGTTTAAGTGCTGCGGACAACTTATGAACTTGGTGCTACAATATAATAATCTAGTAATTGTAATGTAACGCTCGCTTCCAGTCGGTATACGAGTGGCACAGGGCCCGTATCTTGTACTCTTTGGCTCATGTACTTAAAACTGCCCTATTTATTAGTTATTACATTAGTTGTTTGTATCCAGTGTTGTTTTATTATAACCTCTTTTATAGATGTTTATAAGAGCAAATGTATAAAAAAGCTTCTCTTTAAAATGGGACTAAAAGTTAACAATTAAACATACAGTGTAATTTATAAATAGATTTTATTTATTTACTATCTACACGTACTACATCTAATATAACACTTATTAATAAAGCAATAAAGTCTAAAATCTATGCACATTTGCACTGTATCAAATTATTTCCAGGCGTCATACACTTTAATTGTTTTTTAAACCCATCATTAGGTTGGATAGCGGGCCTTTTAGCTTTCACAAGATCATAAGCTTCTTGATAATTCATTTTTTCGTAATGCATTAGATAACCTATGGCAACCATAGAAGTCCTAGAAACGCCTGCATTGCAGTGAATTAAAACATTCTCTTTGGCATCCACAGCCTTCCGAATTAACGGCAAACTGTCTAATAATATCTCTTTTATACTAGTTTCAGGCAAATCCAAGCAGTTGATGAACTTATTGTTGACCGAAACTTGAATGTTTATACCTAAACTGAGTACATGCTGGATGTTATATGTTTGTATCACTTCTTGGGCTGTACAATCTTGTGATCCTATGTATAAATAATCAGATATCAGTACTGGAACGTTATCTGGCTTCGTGTCAACTACAAAGCCATAACTGTTAGAAGAAATTGCAGTTACTGTAGTATCTTTCTCTATGTACCGTTTTCCATCGACTTTTGTTACAACTGTCTCAGTTTCTTTCAATTTGTTCTTTTGTTTCTGTAGTTGGCTGAGAAAACTCATTTTGTAAAGCTAAAATGTTGTTAAATGCGAAAATCAACCTTATTTTACAAGTTAATTAGGTCTATTTTGTTGTTATTTGTCTAGTCTACTTTTAGCTAAAACTTTATTTAGTTATCTGAAAAATAGGTTGTTTCTATTCAAGTTTTTGTCAATGTCTTTCAATCACATTCACTATCACTAAGACACTCTTCTTTTTCTTGATGGCTCTCTGGACCGTATATGAGATCTTCAGGCTTGTAATGTACATCACACAGGTACAGGCCGTCAGGAGGACCGGACTGTATGAAGTTATGCCAGGAGTGCTTGGAAGGCACCTGTAGCATCACTTTTATTTCTTCAGCAGGCAGCTTGCCTATCGCCACGGCGTTTAGTGTTCCTACCATGCGGCGTATCTGAAATGAGATAATTTAGATTAGAAATTATTGAAGGGTGTTTGAATAGCCAATATTATCATCAAGATTACTTACTTGATTATGCACAAATCCTCTCCCTCTAATTTCTATATCCCAGTAGTCAAATATACCATCGTCTCGAGGGTAGCTGGTAATGAGTGGCCTACCAGGTCTCACCACTATGGACTGGACCTCTCTCCTGTTGTGCTTGTGTTGTTTTAACTTGTCAAACTTCTTGAATGTCGTGAAATCATGGATACCAATAAAATATTTTGTGGCTTCTTTAAATTTCTCTATGTCGAAGCCTGGTAATCTGAAATGGATACAGACATATAGTACTTTATATTTATCTCTTTGAAAATGAAAAATATTGAAAAAATATTATGTTTGTTTGTTTCACCAACCACCCATCCTGTAAACCATCTCTTAACCAAAAGTTACTTAGTGTGATGGTGATGTAGCACCTAAATTAAGTAAGGTACTTATACTTTTAGGTTTACCTAGTTCTAGGTTGGTGAGTAAGAGTTGTTAAATGTTTAATCAATTCTTAGCAGGTTTAATTAATTAACTCTTTGAGTACTGTCATTATAGACACAAAGAACAATAGGTTGCGGTCACCGGTGACCACATGGTGTTTCACAGTTTAATATTTGCATTTTAGTGTTTGCAGTTGGTTATTTAAAAAATAAGAAGTAAACAAAATTATGTAGTAGCGTCCTACCTTACAAAGTGACATCTCTTCCACTCCTCAATGGGTATATAAGAAGCTATAGTTACATTTTCAGGCAAAACAATGCCATCTTTTTTTACAGCTAACCTGAAAACAGAATATTTGTAACAAATGAATAGTAAAGTAACTATATGTGTATATAAGTAATTAATTAATATGTTGATATATCATCCCATTTTGTTCATACAAAAGTAGTCTCTAAACATTGGAATTAAGGTCTATAATAGAGTTAATGGAGAGTGGTCACTGATGACCACTTGGGGATTGAACAATTAATTAAATTGAGTAGTACATTACATAGTTCAGTGGCCAGAAGATCAACCTAATCCAATCTGTTAATTTTATTCATTGAATTATCAACTTTATATCAAGACCATAAAGTTCAAAATGTAATATTTCGACAGAAAGGAAAATTCGCCTGCTGATATATTACATACTCATACTACATAATTATGCTGAAAATAAGCTTACCTGTATAAGTAACTCCTGCCAATTGCCTTGTGTCTAGCATTAAAGTTGTCAGGTACTCTAATGACCTTCTTAACAAATATACTGTTATTGTGGTTGTAGAAGAACTTGTTCAAAGTGTAAGTGATCGCTTCAGGTTCATATATCTTGGAGCCAAACCTTTCCAGATCAAAGTGTGCACTAGTATTCAATGCGTGGACTCCACCATCTGTACTGTAACATAGTTAAACAGAAACTGTATCTAGGTCATATATATATAATAACACGTTATATTAGTACGTCATAATATTTAATTTTGATATGCAATTTCTTACCGGCTGGAAAGGACCAGGCTAGGATAGTTGAGAGACCTCAATTTCAGCAGCGCTAGTTCCATCAAACCCTGTACACTTTCAGGATCTGGATGGTTACGACCTTCTCTAAGCCATATTTTCTCAGAGGACCTGCAAGTTGAAATATAGATATTTTTGTATGCTTTGTTTGGTTATTAGATACATGTAAACAAATAAAATCTGACAAACCTAAAAGGCGTTCCTATGTATGAGAAGAATGTTAAGTATCTGGCTTTCATTATATTTTTATTACAGCAGATTTTATAAGCGTTTTCATTGAAAGTTTTGAGAATAATTCAATAACATTCTCCGAAAATTATAGGTTATGTTTCTGGTGGATTCAGTGGATTGACATTTGATTAGACAGATGTTTGCCCTGTTCCTTGTCTCTTGTCCATTCTTTGAAGTTATAAACATACTTAATTAATTTAATATTATTTGGAGGATTATTATTCATTATGAAATTATTTCATTAATGAAATAGTTATGTACACATATAACTATTTACATTTTCTAATTATTGAGGTTTGCGAAGCAAGAGAGACGTTTTACAAATTCCAATAGTTTCTGAACGATCACCTTTCACTTTTTGACAGTCGACGATTTCCTCGTGTTGTTGTCATATATCTGTCACTTTCGCATTTTCATTGATAAAGTCAAAAATGGCACAACGGACGTGGCATATGTTTACGGTGATAACTTTAATATTTACAGTTTTATCTATCGTTGGAGATGTTTTATCTCAGTCGGCAGCACCTTGGTACGAGAATATGCCGGCTGTTACGATGGACTACAAAGTACACATAGATGCAGGCAAAGAAGACTGTTACTATCAATATGTCCCGTCGGGTGCTACATTTTATGCCAGTTATCAGGTAACTAATTAGACTTTTCTATAATAAAAGATATGCAATTGGCTTAGATAACGTAGCTTATAACTTAAAGCGTTGATAACGTTTGATAGTGAAGCTTGAACTATTTTTTCGTGAAATAGTTTGTAAACTTTATGTCAACAGGTGTTGAAAGGCGGCGACGGAATGTGCGGTTTTGCGGTGCGGCACCCTAACGGTCAAATAGTACACCCATACGAGTGGCGACAGAGCGCGGAGTACGCCGACCAATCCTCTTCAGGAGGATATTATGCAGTGTGCATTGATAACCAGTTCTCAAGATTTGCTGGGAAACTAGTCAATTTGTATCTGTCGGTGATTAGATACGACATGTGGGAGAAGTATGCAAAGGAAGTAGAGGAATTGGACATGAATATTAAGAATTTTACTGTAAGTTTAGTTTAATTCATGTTTTTAAAGTTAAAGTAAGCAAACATTCTAATAAACACTGACAATTTAAAAAATATTTCGCAAAAGGAAGTTAGTATTGTATTTGAAGATTTGAATAAATGCTAATAAGATAAGATGACCCACTGACTGATACTTTAATTAGCCAAGTATTATAAATATTTGTATGTTTGCAGAACTCCATCCAGTTTGTGGAAAGGAACATCAATGACATCCTGCAGTACCAGTACCACTCCCGGGCAAGAGAGTCCAGGGACTACAACCTGTTGCAGGACAATAATGTTTATGTGCTCAGGTAAATATATCATTGAGATTATCATTAACTTAATACACCTTTTATCAAATCTGATATCATACCTATTTATCAAATCATGAATGAATGCATTTGGCCTACTTTAGTGCTGTCCTCAATTTACAAGCAACAAAACAAGAAACTTTTCCTAATTATATTCTTGAATTAAAGGGAGCTACCATACTTTTCTAAACTATTTAAAATTACTTAAAACGTTGATATATCATACCCAAAACCTGGTCATACAAAAGTAGTCTCTAAACATCGGTAATAAGGTCTATAATGGAGAGTGTTCACCGGTCAACACCCTATGTATTGCTATAAATAAATCATGGAATTTTATATAAATTATATTAATAATCTACATAACCCATACATTGTTTTTAGTTGTGGCACATATTTGCTTGTATGTCTTCTCACTAACAATTGATTTAGTCCAATTAGAAGAGTGTAAAAGTATTCATTGAAGCTCAATTGGTTGTGTACTTACTCAATTGAAGACACCAATAATATTTTTGTAAGCAATTTTTATGATGTTAGTTATACTAGATCACCCTTAAACAATTATTTGTCTTCATCATTATTAACATGCTAGAAATATTTTGTTACATCTCTAGCTATTTTTGTAAAGAAAATTAGTAGAAAATTTACCAGAAGAATAATGAGAACTTATTTATAAAACAAGTACTTACATGATTTGCAATTGAATTTATTATGCATTCTGTTTCATCTTGTACTTCCAACACGTCTAGGTCTCACATTGTTATCTACATTCTGTTTCTAATTGAGTTGTGTTATGATTTAATTATATTCACTTGTTTGATAATTTTACTCTTTGTGTTGATGTATAATTACATGTACTTGAATCACCTTGGACATAATAATAATGTTTATGTGGCATGCTGAATGAAACACTTCTTAATGCCACATTTTTAGCACCTCCTTTTTTTGAAGTTGGAAAAATAAAATTTACTAAATTTCTATGTTATGCTCTTTCAAATAATATACTGTGCGATGTAAATAAAAAATAATTGGTTTCTTTCTCTCTTTACAGATGGTCTGTGATACAAATCCTAGCTATAGCAGCCACGGCTACGCTACAAGTATACTTTGTGAGGAAACTGTTTGAAGTGAAGGAGAATTCATCTAAGACAAGAATATGATTACATTCCCCAAAACTAACGAATTTACTAACTGTTACTCTTCGACTGAACTTCCATTCCAACTGAAATTAATGCGGATCTCTCTTGTTCATCATTTTGTTTGCTTGTTATTTTGTGTTCATTAGTAAACAAGGAACTTAGGAGATCTTGTAAAGCTCCATTTTATTAGTACATTTTTAACGGGTAGTTATGTATGTGAAAAGGGAGTTTTTCTCATTTTCATTGTAGGTTGCCAGAATGTAGATAAAAATACAATGTTAGGACTGGTTCTAGTTATCCAAGTTTTAGGTGATTGTAGTAGAATTAATATTGAAAGATATATTATATATTTTTTAATATAAAGTTTTAAAGTTAAACTTAATATAATCCTTTATCACTTACATGGCTACTTTTTATGGGTCTGCTAATAAATTGGAACTGTCTATTGTTCATAAATGCTAATCAATTTACTCTATCTTGTTCCTATCACTTTTTATGAGATTATTTTTTGTTTATATTTCTTAAAACAAGTAACAAATCCAATGCACAAATTAAGTTTTATAGTTTAAGTACAAGCTTTTTGCATTTTTTATACAAAAGACATTAAATTGTTTACTATACGTATAATTAATAAGTTTAACCTTTCAGAGTTTATTTTTTGATCGGAATATTAAATGATCTGAATATAATAACGACATTTTTAAGTATTTTTGATAAGAATTGGATTTTTATTATTTATTTGCTTGACAATGATCACAATATTTTTAGTTTAATTTTATTGTTAATCTGTAAGGTTAACTGAACATGTAACGAACTGTGTGTTTGCTATTGAATGACCGATGTCAATACATATAATGATAATAAACTGAAATGTTAAAGTACTTAAACTATGAGTTTATTTTACTATTCTCTACTTCTAAATTGGTCTTTTCTCTCGACATTACGGTAAAGGTTTTTTATCATTACAATATATTAATAAATTATTATCAACATATAAAATACCTATACCTATTCTAAAAAAAATATCATTATTTAAGGATCAATTAAATAAACTTAGTTGATAACGCAACAACCATATCATAATAAAAACTCACTTGCGATAAGCAAAACTAAAGCATAATAAACATATCGATAAAATTATGCGTTACGAAATATGCCACATAATATTGTCGTATATACTTACACGTTTAATACATAATTATGTAGGTACGTTTTTTTTTGAGAGGGAAAATCATCCAATCACTTTTCCCTCCTTGACGAGAGGGAGTGACACTCTTACTGACTAAAAACCACCCTGTTCCTACTCCTGCTCTTCGAGCCGGATCCCCGGCAACCCGTTAGGCCTTCCGCAGCTCCGTATCGGGCATCAGCACTACTGGGCCCCATCTATGGTGGTCTGATGGCTCCATGAGGCGCGCGCGGAATGCGACGCGCCGTACGCACGGGTCTGGTTCTGATCGGGCGGCGAGCTACCCTTGCTCACCGTCCGCACCTACGGTGGCCGGAGATCGTCACGCGATCTCCGACGCCCGGAGTGTCTCCCGCGAGAGGCGTGAGGAGGTTTGTCCCTCACGCGCTCTGCTTCCTCTTTGGCTAGCATGACTGCTTCGCAGAAGGAGGAGACGGCATCCCAGTCCCCCTCGCTCCGCACCATGGCCTAAACCAGAGCCGGATGCGAGAGGTCGCCGTCACCGATCACATCTCTGAGGACACGGCGGTGCCCAGCTAAGCGGGCCACACCACCACTGTATGCTCCACCGTGTCCTCTAGATGGTCCTTGCAGTGATGACACCCGGGCGTTTCCTCCCGCCCAGTCCGAACCTACCGAAACTTATGTAGGTAGGCTGGCCTTAGATGTTAGAATCATATATATAGTTTGTTTGTTGTTGTATTAGTGACGTACAAGTCCGATTTCAAAAAAAAATTGTGTTGGACAGTTTATTTAACAGGGGTGAAAGGGGTAGGCAGAGGTGCACATTATGGCACTTAATGCCATTGTGCAATGTAATACCCACTTTTCACTATTTATGTTATGTTATGAGTCCCATATTATTACATGGGCCTATTGGCGGTGAGCCTATTGCCATATACCTACTGTGCACAATTCTAGACACCATGCTACTACTGACATTTTTTTTAAAACCCAGTAATATTTTGCCCGACCCCGGTATCGAACCCGAGACGCCTTGCCCGGCAGTCGCACTTGTAACCATTCGGCCAACGAAGAAGTAAAATTATGTATATTTGCCGAAATTACAAAAATGTGTTGAAGATCTTATAAATGGGCTGAAGGTCCCTACTTAATTCATAAATATATCTGGTTTTATCCAAACACCTATGCTAGATAAAAATTATTAAAAAAGTATATTTGTTTGTTTATGATCCTAAAAATATAAAATCAAATCAAATCACTTTAATGCCTTTACCTCCAAATACCTCTTTCATCAAAGAGGTGTGTGCCAACCCCTGTTTCCAGCACACATAAAGTTAGCACTAACTCAACAAGGAATTGTATAAGAAACCAGTGTTATCTTTAAGATCTCGAGTTATTGACTTTGGCGATTTGAGTGAGGGCTCGTACACAAAACTGCGATGCGATGCGAGTTCGCAACACAAAAAATTCCGATGCTAATTGCTGCGATGCAATTTCGTGCGACAAGGCCTAAAGTGACCATTCCTTCGACGACCGTCAACCATACTAAAAGTATTTGAAATTGAGAACTAGGTCGTGACATAGATCGTAAAAAGAAGTGTGTCCTTCTGTTATTTCTTAGGAGATACAGGAAAAAGAAACAAAGAAGATTTTGATGCGCTATTCGCAAGTTCTTGCGATGCCTAGAGGGCGTACGCACATTTTTGCGATGCGAAGCCGCATCGCAGTTTTGTGTACGAGTCCTGAGTATATTGAATTTAAATATCTTGTTGGCGACCTATATTGAATTTAAATATCTTGTTGGCGCTGTTATGTTAATTATAACAATGACTAGTAGTTTATATTTATCATTTTCCTTTTCCAATTTTACTATAATGCACATATACAGTTTAAAAATTACCAACACGGTAAAATTGCTAGAAAACTACAGGATAAAATATCTAATAGGATAATGCACAAGGTAAATTAATAATGAACAGTTAAATAAAACAAGGCCATTATATAATTAAATTTTATTTATTTATAATCATACCATAAATATATAACATCCATGATTTGTTACATTTGTTTCCTAATTCTATTTACACAATAATTTACTTAAGTACAATACAATACAATAATACATCGTAACATGAATTTATTTGTTAAATGATATGGTGCTGAAAGTATTCACACCCTATAGGTAACCTTTAAATGACAATAGAGGGGTATTAGTCAAATAGTTTCTATACAATTTATAGGTCACCTACATTGTATTTTAGACCTTAAGTGCTAGCCAAGGAATGTAAATTAAAATACCTACTCGATAATTTCTTGACAAACTCATCCGCTTATGACTAGTCAATTTTTCAAATAGCGGGCAAGTAAAGCGTTAAACAAATATATACCTTAATCTAATCAGTAAAATGTCTTAATTAAACTGTACAACAAACTTCGCGAATCTCATACGTAACTGTACACTTCTATAACTATACTAAACTAGTGTGAGCAGAGCTCTCGGTATCAACAATATATAAAAATATTAATAACACTTCATTCGTCGTTGCATAATTAATGTTAAAAGAAAGATACATTTAAACACATTTAAGAACCTATTTATTAGGAGACGTGGTGTATACAGAGACACCCGAACAAACACTAGGGTTGCCGACAACTAGTAGCGCTATGTTGGTTGGGCGACCATGGTATATCCTAATAAAACAGGGCTCTTACTAAGATGTTACGTAATTTGATATCGTTTGAATAGTTTGTTCATAGCAATATAGTGAAACTATCACAAGTAAGCACCTTGATTTAGAACTTTTCGCTACATACTCCACTGTTATAAGTCCATATAAGTGTTCACTAAGCCGATTGGACGGACCACGTCTTTAATAAACAATTGGGATGGTTCCAACTAGACAAATTAATTACTTTTTTGAATAAAACGATTATTTTGTATGAATATTGTACGAGATTCTATATTATTATGTCATAAGTTGCGTCAATAACACACTTTTTTCCAAAATTAAAAACTTAAGTGTGTAATGAAATCGCTTAGTGAAATATTGATCGTTTTAAAACATTATAGGGGAGGTCTAAGTTATCTAGCGTTATTTGTGGTTAATGTAGAATTAACTTGTTTTGTTTTTTCAGTGGAAACATCCCAATTTAAATAAACCGTTAACACTCGTGTTAGTACTTAACCAATAACAACGACATTGAGACCATCTCCTAACTTAATTGTGAGATTCTAATGTGATGATATCCAGCTATTTCTACATAGCATTTTAGTCTTTAATTTCATTCAATACGATTTATTTTTATCTGTCAGTGCGGCTGCCCAATAAATGCATTTAGTGTCAAAGGAATGAAGGCAACTTAGCACCAAATGAGACGATAGAACATCGATTACATTTTAGAAAATGTTTAATTACATAGAATTTTATATATTATGATTTTATATTAAAATAATATTCATTACACACACAATTCATTAAAATCACATAATTGGAATTCATTGAAAAATTATGAGAATACGAATTGAAATTATAATACTTTGTCTTTTCAGAGCGCTATGTTAACACTGCTATATATAACAATATACAGTTCGCGTCATTTACACACATTTGTCTTTATCCCTTATAATTTTTGGCTTTAAACAATGTTTAAAACCTAGTAAACCAACTCCAATAGAATTCCAACCTTATTTATTTTTCAATAAAGAAGGTATTTTGGAAGAAAAACAAATCACAATAAGTTTACGCGGTATAACAACCTATTTTGTCAAAGTTTTTAATTAGTTACCAATAGTCCAATAGAATCTTCCATAGGTTATACAATTCACAGGGACGTGTATGTATGTAGATACAGTGTGAGGCGGTCACAGGTTCCGCTTCTTGTGTCCGCGGTATGTCCCGGACAGCGCGAGGAGCCGGTACCGCTGGCGCAGGTTGCGCGCGCGCACGTGCGGGGACGCGATCTCCGCCGTGTAGGCGCCCGGGAACCAGCCTGACTCGCCGTCGCGGGTGCGCTCGCCGTAGTACCAACCTACGGGTTCATTCATGGTCATTAATATATTCACAATTTCAATAATCAGACAACAAACACTTCACAATTTTGACAATCTAATAATTTGCTTACAATTTACATACATTGAGATCAGTATTTCAGGTACCTATATCGATCTAGACGATTTTTCTCATATATGGAGTCCACTATAGCCAATCGATACGTTACAAACTAAACTAGCATTAATATACAATTCATTATTAAACATACCTTCACTAGTCTTCTAGTAACATTAACGACATCTCCTTCAGCTAGGGGCAGTTCATCAGGTTGCGCAGGCGCATATGCATACAGAGCGCATACTTGTGGACAGTCCCAGCCTGCGTAAACAGCTTCGCCCTCAGAAGTCGCCGTCGGAGGCTGTAGGGCTTCGGCCCAACGAGACCACTCCGTCTCACTGGGACATGACATCAACATTTCAAGAGTTCTTCCTTCGTGGTTCTCTAGTAGGGTAATGAGTAGAGCATGCTTCGCCCCCCCGGCTCCGACCTCGCTGGAACATACTTCTAGTAGCGAGCGAGGGCAGTGGTCCACGCATATGTATTGTTCTCACTGGAATTGAAGAAAGTATTGTTAAAGGTTAGGTTGAGTTACTACAATTTTCCCCCATATTAAGTGAGTATATGGTTGGTGGAATGGTCGCAAGCGCAAATGTTGAGCAACAAAAAAACATCAAATTGTTAAATGGTATATCAACTTTGACCAGTATCAAGTCTATCAGTCATTCATCAGTAGTATAAAGTAGTAAGGTGCATTATGACCTATTCAGATTCTGTACTAGAATTGTGAATTTTAAAATTCTTGAAACCCAACATCCAGCCCAGATAACTTGTTGTCTAACCCCAAAATCGCACTTGACAAGATATTAACAATCTATAGAAAGATAAGAAAGGAAACAAACAAGCAAGCAAGGTATACATACCCCTTCTTCTTGGCAATGACGAGGAGATCGTTGAAGAGGAACAGATGTAGCGGCACCTTGTGGAACTTCTTCCCGAAGGTCAGCTTCAGCTCGTCAGACTTCCAGATCAACTGCGTCATCTCACCAGATCGGACTAGCCAGCGGACAGGTCTGTAGTAGGGAGATATATTTCTATAGTAGTTGGGTATATTATGTTATAGTCGGGGATATATGGATTGTAAACGTGATTGAAAAAGAGTAACCTATGGAGTTTCTTGCTCGTTCTTCTCCATAGGAATCTACACCTTGGAATGAGCAATTAGCTTCACTTTAATTTTTTTTTTGTTGACGTTCAAAAGTACCATTCTGGCCTAATTGAAATAAATGATTTTGACTTTGTATATATCAGAGATATTTATGAAAATAATATACTAGGTAACATTACGGTTTATCGATTGAAATTCATCCTTAGTAAAAATGATGTAAATCTATACCTGCGATCCCTCCGTGAGCAGGCAGGTCCGAGACAGGGCGGGGAGCGTATATGCGCGGGGAAGTCAATGGAGGCGCACAGACGGTACATTTCTTCTATGCGCTCTGTATTACGGGCGCCCTCATTACATTGCGACACGTACTGAAATATATAAATTATGTTTTTATAATAACTATTGTGAGACATACTAAATTAACTAAAATCGCGGGCTATTTACGTGAAACATAGAAAACGTGATTCACGAGAGTAAGCCGCGATTTTTACATAAATCATTGATTATTTTGAGTATTAAAGTTTCTATACCTACAGGTAGATTGCTCCAAAAGCTAATGAAAAAATATTAGGTGTAATATTAATTACTTTTTAAGATTTACTCTCCTTAAATATTTCCTTCAGACCTCAACAATTTGTCAAATTTTACTGAATTATTATTTGTAATGACTTGAGCAGTATTTATCACAGTTTTTAAAAAATTCAGAATTTCGGTAGTTTTAAACAAAAATAATAGGAAATGTTACGAGGATGTCCATTTAAAAAATAATAACTTTATCTTCAGTAAAAAGGTAAGATATTTTTATGGTTAATTTTGTGACACTGTGTATATGATATATCCCTTTATAAAGCATGTGATAAATAGAGACGTACGTTGTTGAGCGTGACGAGTGCGCGTGCGCAGGCGTGGTACTCGTCGTCGTGCGCGTCGAGGTGCTTGAGCACGGCGTCCAGCAGCAGCGGCAGCCGCGTCACGCGCTGCATCGGCAGCAGCACGAACGAGTGCAGCGACAGGCTCTGGCACGACGGGTGCGACTCCAGTCTGACGACACTCATTGTTGCACTACACGCCTCACTCACGACTCTCAGACAACTATCTATTATTCAACAGTAGCTATCCAGAGATGTATGTCAAACGGACCACAAGTCACTTTTTACTCAGTTAAACCTTTGCCTGACAGAAAACTGTTGAAGACAAAACCTCCGCTACGGAATGTCACTGGAGTGACCTACGCGGTGGTTAAAGTGTTATGTACAAGTTTTTGTATTTTTTAAATTCTAGATTATTTTATGAATATGTTTGGTTAAAGTTCACCTATGTTTGCCTTTTAGAAATAACATGAAAAAGTAATCTGGAAAAAAGGCTATACAATACAAATTACAAGATAAACACATATGATGTTATTAAATACGTACTTCTTAAGCGCGGCGACGAAGGCCGGCCTGGCCTGCAGCCGCTGCAGCGCCTTGACCATGAGTGCCTGGTTCTCGCAGTACTTCACGTACACGCTGAAGTGTAGCTCGGCGTGTTGCCGCACGATGTCACAGATCCCTTGCAGCAGGATGTTCTCCTGCCAACACTTCTCCAGCTCCGTCATCAGTAGCTGGGAGCATTTGCGGACTGTTGAAGGAAAGAATAAAATACTGATCAAATGTTTGTTAGGAACATTTTAATAGACTTATTTATTCAAAGGTGACCTCAATGCTACATATACATTTCCATACTGAAGGCTATGGGCAAGTAATTACTTGAGAAATAATCCGTATCTAGGCTTCTCGTTCGCTCACACCATAAAAATTCAAGCTAGCAAAGTTGGAATTAGGATAGAAAACATTAAATACTCCAGAACCAAATTCTTCAGACAGATTTCCATACAAAACAACTAAATCAATAGACAAGTAAATTGTTCAATGACTATTAGAATGAATCTTACCCGGCAATATAGTAGCGAACAGCGTCTCCCACTCATGTCTGGGCAGCACGTGTGGGTCTCTGAAGGCGGGGTGCGCTATGAAGTTGGCTTCCAACACGTTCAGGGAATTCAGGTACGACGCTTCTGAAGTAAGCAGCTCGAACTTCGCTTCTTGGAGACGCTTCTGTGCTGGAGCTAGGGAACCTGTGGGGGTGGGCGGGTTAGGAATACTGCGGAGAAAGTTTATCATCGAATCGGCAGGTAGAGGTGCCTATTTTTTATGTAACTTCACAACCTTCTTTTTGAAGCTTTAATCATCATAATGGAATATGATGATGATTACAATTCAATTTCCTTATCGTCCCTAGACTTGAACTAAAACTTAAAATCTAGGAAATATAGGCTACTTACTAAGCACAGCGGAGTTTAGCACTCGGGTACCTCACACCAGAGAGTGCGGGAGGGCCCGCGCGGCGCCACTAGTGCCATGGCGGAGGGGCGCGCGGGCGTCTCACTCCCGGAGGTGGCAGCACTGCGCTGCGACCCTGCCTCGTACGCGTCCGAGTCTGAGTCTCCGGTATCACGACACACAGACTGTAGGAGAAATTATGAAATCAGGTATTGAGAGTTAAATATGTGTCGGAATAGATGAATGGAACGAGGATGGTCCCCATCTTTAGAAAAGGTTTGACGAGTGATTTGTGGCTCTCAGGTGGACTACAAAAATTTTGAGTAGCTATATAGCTGTCTATGACTCTGTAGCTGGCTTGGTCAATGAACTACACGAAATTTTGAATTTTGTTCACTTTGCCTAAATTTGCCATTTAGTAGAGAAATTAATGGAGATTACACTTGAGTAGTAAGGCTCCCCACGTTTTCCAAATATCTTCACAACCACTTGCAATAAATAGTAAACTATTTTAAACTAACAAATAAATTAACAAGCGCGTACTGATTCAGTATTCGGTGTCGTTCGCACAACAAATGATGAAATATTTCTTTTCACAGACACTCCACACCGCACGGCGCACTAATGTTATTGTTTACAGGCAACTTTACAAACATTCGAGACAAAACAATTGTCATTTTTCTAGAAACTATGTCATACCAAGGTGTAGGAACGACAAGTTTACAATACACATGTTTAGATTCGACAGACAAACATTGCTACTAAAATGCATACCGAAATAGTATTAATGCTTATTCTATTTGTGCTATTTGCGCAGACAGACAGAGCCAGATATTTTGACAGACCAGCAGCAGCGCACACTAGCAGGTAAATTTAATTAAACCTTGTAAATTACGATCTCCAAATGTGGAGAAGATGGCAAACACTCTTATGTAGAGGAAGCCCAGTCCAGCAGTACCTAAACTGCCACGGACTGTTGTTGATGATTTCATCACCTGACATTTAAAGCACTTTGCGATCCGGTTTCCATTTTCAATTCACACTACATACAATTAAAATCGTTAGAACCAACGGTTTCTGTCGATTAAAGACAGGTGTAATTGCTTTAATAACAGCTCGTGGAAAGATTTCTACTGGGTTGACATGGCGATGATAAGAGGTGAAGTAGGTAGTGTTTACTGTGGGCCCGAGGGTATTGTTCGACAAATTACCTAGTGACTAGAAAGGTAGCGGAATAAAGTAAGTACCCAAGTGTGTGGTGTGTAGTGAAAGATTTCTGAAGAAAGAATCGGATATTCTGGTATCCGGAGATGGGTAAAAGTAATCAACAACCAATTAACTGTAGACTCTCACGTCTGGAAAATTAGAGCTTCATAACAGAAACTTTCAGTGTTCACGGAAGTATAGGCTCGGTATAAGACCGATGGCCGATGTGTTTGCACCGTTGTTATGTGTTAGGTCATACAAACTGAAGTCTAGCGTGTTCCATCAAGGTCGCTACAATTACCAACAATTAGTGGCGAATTAGCGGCCATGTTTACACGCCGACTCTAAAATTGGACACACGCTGGATAAAGTGTAATTAAACTGTTTATTTCCTTAAACATACGTCATTTTGTTGGTACAGAAATAGAATGACGTCCAGGCAATCCTGGCCGTTGACGAGGGATTTGGGAACTTGTATGACGTGCGCAGATAGTATTTTACAGTAACCAACTACGTGGTTAATCACAAATTCGAAGTAAAAACATGTGTTACAATTACTAATAGGAGTAACAGGTCATTTATGAAGGTACAATAGAATTGTCTGTTTCCATTAGTCAGGCACTGTGTAAAGCTAGGTGCTCATTCCGAAGCGCATTCCAGATTTGTATAAAATATAACGAACAATGATATAGACGCCTAGGTGTTTCACAACAACCTTACGTAATATCAGCATTACTTTTGGCGTCATATTGAAATAAGGGACCTAGTTTAAGGAAGATCAGAGTGTGGCCGGCGCCAAGTTAATGAGCGTGTTACGTTATTTTTTTGTAGTAAAAGTTGTAATCTAATTTGTATGAAAGCTTATCGTCTGTGTGCCCATAGCCCATTTGTGTGCCTCCTTCCGTGAGATAAAGGAGTTGTGTAGGTACGTCTCTTCACAAAATTGTAGGGCAGTGGGGAAGATAGGATAAAGATAACAGGCAAAGGTTTGAAATTGGAGATCTGTTTCAGGAATTGGAAAAATAGGTCATTTGTTTTGTGATGTTTACCAACAGGTAAAAGAACGGATAACAAGACTTCTCGGTGCAAGAAAAATGTCGAAATAAAAAGAATCCTCAAATCACTTTGGTTTAGTACATTCTTTATTGCATATTTTAAAAACACATACATTTAAACAAAACGAAAAGCAAGAAACATACAATGAAATTTTGATGGATATATAGGAACTGAACACTCAATTTAGTGTTATTTTAATATCCTGATCCTTTGCACAAGTATCCGAAATACCAATGTATTTCTATTCCGATGGACCAGCACAAGAGAAATTATATTTCAAATATATATAGGAGACGACGATAAAATACTGACCTCGACCTTAGCAGCGTTGTAGAATTGGTAGAGCGGCTCGTGTGTGAACAGAGAGTGGGGCAGTGGACTGGCTGGGTGGGAGCCTGACGATGCTCCCGAGGACGAGGAGATGTTGCCGGCTTGGTACAGACCGGCTTCTGCGTACCTAGAACAAAATTAAAGTTGTGTTAGAAAATCTAATACAAATACAACAATTTACGTACATACATAATGAATAATACATAATAAGGATCTGTTTATTTAGATTTATGAACAGTGAAGCCTGGTAGAAAAGGCACGTACAATTCTAGAGAACATAAAAAAATTGTGTCCTGTCTGTGGTCGTAGTTAAAAAGACAACGTGTAAGTTTGAATTGAAGACGAATTTGCACAGAACAGGGACTCCCCTCGGGGTACTTTTATGTCCATTGTCCAATACAATAGATTGCATGCACAGAATTGGGATGACTCACACAAGGGACTCCAAGGGAGATGAATGTCACGTTCACACGAACCAGACATCTTTTTTTAAGATTTTTGGGATCGAGAATCCTGATGTGTGTGTGTGTGTGTGTGTGTGTGTGTGACTACATTTCGTGTTATTATGGTTAAATAGAGGAAACCAAAAAATATGTAAGAAATGATTATGTCTCGCTTGGCATAACAGTACTTAGGCCTTAGTACGAGTTTGTTTTACGTTTAATGTAATCGTAACGAGTACGCGTTCGGCGCTGTGATTGGTTGCTTCATTGGTGCCGGCCAATTAGAGCGTCGAACGCACACTCGTTTAGAATACTTTAAATTCGTACTAAGGCCTCTGTACAGTGTACTGTATGTTAAACACCAAGATTCTCCAATCGATAAAGTTAAATAACTTGTGCACCAATGTTCATTTTTCTGTGATATCTACTAACCTAATGCAGGTGCAATTATAGCTCGTTTAGTCTGAGAAAAATGACCACTACAAGGTCATTGGTTGTCAACGATGACGTCATCTCATTGTAAACATAGGTACTTAGAACATATTGTTTGATTGGTTAAGAAATCGTTTGTTATTCGCATGATTACAGGTAGTGGAGATAAGTAAACCTGGTTTCTAATAGATTATTTCATAACATGATATTATATCACGTCTCTTATTTATCAAAGAGATAGACAGAGTACATTTTTACAATACAGAGTGGTACAGGGGAGGAACATATTGGTCATCACCGGGTATAAGTAGTTGCTGACTTTGTCATTAACTGATAAAACTTTCGACATTCCCTCCAATTGATCGTAATATATTTAGTCTTACACTATAAAACCGATAATAATAAATTCTACAAAGACTACATACAAAATACATAAAGATTTAAAGATTGCGGTGTGGCTAATAAACTGATTCGATAAGGACATAAAGGTATGACGAATTAAAGAATGACACGATTCATCCTTACTTCCTTCAATGAAGCACCTATGATCGTATAAAAACCTCATTGGTCAAAATCCTAATAGCTGAAATAGCTAACTCGGTGTTTTGTTTACAACTTTTCTGTGGGATCGAATTTTTGTTAAAATCAGAGATCGATTTAGACATTTTGGAAAATGATTGGTTATATAATTATATGGTTATATAAATATAATTTCGGCCGTTAAAGAGAGCACGTGTATGACTAATCAGACTTATTAAAGCCCCATACTCAGCAACTCTGGTAAGTTAAGATCATCAATAGTGACCAAACATTTGACAAACCAAACAGCTGTCTTAGATTCCAGAACAAAATTCATCAGAAGACCATCATTGTCATTACAGAAGTACGAACGAAATAGCTGCCTAAATAACTTATAGCAGGGCTAACCAAATTAAATTAAATTATGATTTAAAGTAATCTAAGTATTAATATTTACCTCACAAGCTAAAGGACAATAAGTAGACAAGTCAAATACATTGACCCCAATAATACGTGTTATTAATTAGCGGCAATTAACGCCACAAAATAATAAAGCTGCTTTTTATCAGGTTTGTAAGTAAGCAAGGTGACATTGGTCTTTAATGTGAGTATGGGCGACGACATTACGACCATGTGGGATGAAACGAGTAGGTATTCAGTACAAAAATATCATAAAAATGATATTATTATAAATGTCATGTAGATTACCTCTGTTTATCTGTTTATCACTTCCTTTGTTGACACGAGTAACATTCGACACTAATACACTAATTTTATGTTTACACATAAAATTGTCCAGTACAAATCAAAACACTACCTAACTGAATAAAGGACACTACACTGATTTTAATTTTAACACTGGTAGGTATTAAGTATTAACTAAATGTTATTAATTTTATTTTATTAAATTGTGCGCTAAAAACCGCGAAGCAACGGATTCGATTCAAATCCCACCAACGTCCTTCTGCGCGCGCGCATACTATCGAACTTAAGTTATGAGCTGCTTCAAGTGACTGACTGTAAGCGGGTCTTTCTTATTATGAACTTGAACTTATTTAATACCAGTTTAAGGTAGTTGACAAAAAGTCAGTTATATCATTTCGACTAAAATGTTATCGAAAAATACACAAACACACAATTTTTATTTGCTTAACTGTATTTTGAGGTTAAAAAGCGTAGGTAATCATTTTATGGATTTCAATTAAAATATTATTTATACAGTTTCCGTTTCATTTTAGTTTTCTGGTAGTAAAAGTACAAATATGAGGTATTTTGAGACCGAATCAATATTTTATTTTTCAATTTTGGTGACGTATCCTTGAGACATCAATAACCGTGTCGCTTATGCTATCGCCTGTCGCTAATGCAATGGGCCACGGGTAACGGTGGTACGGAAAACTGGCTTGTGAGTCATCGGTTTCGTTGGTAATGGTGGACGTCATGCGTTCGCGCCACTGACTAACGTCTGGGCTGGACTATCCTATACCTCACGGGAACATCTTTCTGGGTTACACTGCATTCATTTTTATTGACAATAGGGTTCTACTCTGTTTATTTAATCAAGCCTCTTTATGTTATTTTAAGTTAACCAGGAATCAAGGTTTTGTCAAGATTATGACGTCTCTATATGATGCTTATTGCTTCATTTAATAAAAGTCTAGCAAAATTTAAGCAACTGCTAATTTTAATACTACTATAGGAATCATGATTTTTGAAATTTAAATAAAAGATTATATTACTGACGGATGGTTCTTTTTATGTGACAAGGTCATATTTGGTGAGGTGTCCTCTTGACGTTAAAGAGCATTTGCCATCAAAAGGCATATTTTAGTAAACATAGCACAATTGGACCAACAAAAAAGATTTTCTTTATTTTGGTCTTCACGCGACAATGGATTTCTCAAAAGATATTCCTCTCAGAAACGGGTTATAGGTAGTAAGTAGGTAAAAGTTTGCGTGAATTTCTCCAAGTAGGACAGAGAGTAAGATCGTGGCGTGTCGTTGTTGACCTTTGTCGTGAACCCTGGCAACCGGCGCCGAATGCCAAACGGACCGCAATCGTAACTGTAGCGTAAATGTCGTGCCGCGGTCGCTACGCAACTGCGCGCGCTTTTACAAATCATACGTACACAGACACATCAAGCTATACATAACCAGTTTATCATGCTCTCGCTTTGTATGATCTTTCAATGCATTCGACAGTCAGTTTATACTGGTTTTGTATAGTTTGACGTGTAGCCGTGTACTGCAATGATAAATTAAATATGGCGGCCCTGTCATTAAGTGTCACGTTGCGTTTTGTTATGCATTTTCATTTTGTTTAATTTTAAAAATGTTTGTTTCTTCTTGTAGGGCGGACATGATCAAATCTGGGTTTTTACGTTAATAAATAGGTGTCATTACACGATTAGAAAATATTAAGTTTTCATTTATTATGGTTAAGAAAATATTGTTTAAGTTTAGCTTAGTACCTACCTACAACATTCATGCTAATAGGTTAGCAGACGTTATTTACAATTTGTAATTAAGTCGCTAATTGAAGGAAAATAGCAGTATTTCTAAATAATGAAGAAATGATGTCTGTGTTTTTGCATTTACGTACAGGGAAAATATGGACACCTAGCATTGAAATGAAAGGACAGCATGTAGGAAATCCAGATAGTAGACTCAAGTTGACTGTACCTATTTAAATATTGACTTTGATAGGTACAAAAATATGAGATTTAGATAAACATGGAAAGATACTGGAAAATGGTGAACAAGCTGTTATGATCATACAGGTTTATTCTGAAAATGCCGTAAAATAAAACAACTTTCCTTATGTCTATTCCAGAAGTTACCTATACTGTGTAAATTGAGTATTTAACCTACCTAAACTGAAGCTAAAGTTCAATGACACTTTTCAGAAGCAAAACAGAATACACCACAGACCAACTGTTCAAATAATGATAACTGAGTTGAGAACAACTTTCATCCATATTTCAAAATGGCGAAGGGCGCAATATCGCCTATCATCATCTCATGTCAAAAGAAACTTGAATGATGGTCAACATTTCTGTGATCCCCAGGTGGCGCCAAATGAGCGTGAGGTCTTGTCCAGAGAATTATCTAATTTCCAATTATAGGGTAGTTACAGTGATTGGACAAATAGGACCACACGTTACATTAGCGCTATTTGATGAGCACAGAACCTTTAGCCCTCTTTATTGAAGGGCAAAACTGCTGGCGGAAAGCTAATATATAAAATTTAAGGTAACTTACCAGGAAGTGTTGGAGGTGTTAGGCGTAGTGATGGGCGTAGTGTTGGGAGTGGTATCTGCGCCGCACTCCGCGTACCACGACGTCCGCGCCCGCGGGCTTTTGTCCTTGCGCGACAACGTCGGCAGCAGCCGCTTCAGTTCTGCACATCATAACGTCACATCACTATACATTCACGTAATGACACAGATTATCTAATGTTTACTTACTGAATGACATTTACGGCCAGTGTCACAGGCTCTATGAATTATAAGAATTATTTGGGAGTTTTTATCAGGAACTTAAAGAACTGTAAAATTGGCTTATGGTAGTTATACTGATTATGGTTTTATTGAGTATTGCTTGATTAATTAAGTAATGTCATTCTTCGAGTAAATTCTGTCAACAGATGTTTGATTTCGCTGTGTAATGTGGTGATTATGAATTTAACGAATGATGCCACATTTTTAACTGAAAACGAAGTAGTTATTGTAAAGAGACACATCATTATTAATGATAATATCAAGTTTCCAGATTGTTAGTAGTACATTCTTATTTAAGTTGAATGGATCTCGATAAAATATTATTAAAATAGTATGGCATTAGTTGTCAATATAATAGTTTATAGTTGATCAGAATGAGAAAATTCTTTTATCGCTCCATTGTCCGTGGTAGTTATTTTATGTAGGTGTATTAATTACAGCTGACAACTAATGTGGGAAGTCGAACATCTGTACAGTCAGTAATCTGCGTCACACACTATGTACTTAGCTAGGTATCAATATGACTAGTTCCATGCAATCCGCTTTTATTGTCTGTGCTGACATTAGGCACAAAGATTCGTTCAAACGTCAGGTACACAATAGCACATCAAGTTAGACTTTCATTGATTTTCCACTTTAGCACTGTAGTTAAGTAGCATTTGAAGTTGATCGGTATACCTTGATGCGCGTCTGTACAATGACGTCAAGTACAATTAGCAGTTGTTAACATTATTTACTTCAATTGTTTCATATTCATGTCAAAATAATTTAAAAGAAAAAATCTTCGCAACTAACTTCACAATGAACGGTTAAGGAAAAGAACAATTGCAGTGCACATTATAAAATGTAGGACACAAACTTGAAACAATAAAAAAACATAATGTTACAAAAGTACAACTGTAATTTACATACGAGTAATAATAAAACATGTTACATCCAGTACGTGGGGGCAGACTGTGCCGAGTTAAATCATCGTAATTATTCATTATAAACATTGCATGCTAAACAAAACATTAAAGTCATGCATCGTTATAACAAAAATCATGCATTTTAGTATTGGAAGAAGAAACTCACGACCCATCACACAGTGCAACACATCACAATAAAACGTACGAAATGCGCGGGAAGAATAATTTAAACTGTAGTAACAAAACGAGTATCCTGCAGTGGCGCTCACAGATGACTAACACTCACAAAGTACTCGTGTAACTGACTTAACAGACTATTGAATACATTGCACAAACCCGCGCATTGTGTACAGAGGTCGCTGGCGTCACCACCATAGAATAAACATCTTTATAAAAAGTAAAACACAATGCTGCATACAGCCGATACAGACTATACAAATGCTACCCCACCCATAAATCCTTTGACGTACAAATTAGATTATTGAGCTGATTTGATTAAATTTTTGGACAATTTAAGATTTTAATTTAATTAAAACTGGTGATATAGTTATCATTATCACCATATATTAAACTTACTAGTGTAAGTTTAATATATTTGTAAAGTTGTTTTGTACCAGTCCGTGTCATACATTATGAGGTCACTGGAGACTGGTTTTAAAATAAGTTTATTACAAGTCTAGTACTAACTGTAATGTGATCTATTGTATCATATTATTTTACGATTCCAAGCATGTACAGTTTTACTTTTATGACCTAAATAAGTATAACTTGTTGCATGATGCTCTATCCTCATTATAAATGTGAAATTGTGGGACATTTCATTGAAATAAATTGTTTCAATAGTTTAATAGAAGGAAGCGTTTATACTGAATTTTAGAGAGCGGAATGGACACCCACTAGGCGGTAAATAATATCTGTCTGTCTAGGTTGGTTACATAAACTGACACAGATAATATAAGTAGCAATAATTTGAATTATTTCAAAAGTTCTCTCAATCGGTACTTAAATATCTTTCTCACTCATATCATTCTAGCGTCGTTTCAGTTTTTTTCCCTTTCAGTCGTCTTATAATATTTAGTTTGAAATATAAAAGCTCAGTGTTAAAAATAGATTATAGAATATTTTTATATTTAGTTATGAGCCCCAACCACGTGTCACTAAAGAAAATTATAAAGACAGGAAATTAAATACAACAAAACAATTATTATACAAAATGAACCTTAATTACACTCATTCATCATCCATTTCAGTATGAATTCTTCAGAATAAAGCTTAAACACAGCAATGGATCAAAAATAGTGTTGATCATAGGCCATTTTGTGTAGAAATAACAAAGAAAATAGAACGCAAGACAGTGCAAACAAATAAACGTGTACAGTGCAGGATCCCAATCACCCCGTTGCGGGAATAACTATTTATTTTAATAAAATCTCCGTGAAACAGACTGAATACGTCATTCTGACTAAGCTGCGGTTAACCAGCGTCTAGATTTCGATAGCAAATTAGCAATTTTTCAATGGAAGTTACTGAACTAGATATTTTTTCTAACTAAACGTGGGATGCTTAACAAATTAATTAAGTTGCACGAATTTAAAGCAAAGAGGTATTTATTGTGATGAACATTTTGTTCAGTTTATTTTAATTTCAAGCGGGGTTAATTAGGTATACGTACCTAAGAACTTTCTAATTTAAAAATGGAAAGCATGACATATAAATAAAAACAATGTAGATAGCACCAAGGAGTTTTGCGTCGAAAATAATGCCATACTTTTAATTGAGGAAAAATTAACTCGGGTAGTTATGCTTCCAAGTAATAAGTAGGTAGTCAAGTGAATAAAGTTCTTACGCGGATAATAGGCAATGTTACAAGACGAAGTGATTACTACAAGGTTTTTACTTTACAACACTTATTAGTTACGACTTGCGGAAAATTACAATTATTTGCCACATTCTGCGAGGAATATAATTTGTAAACACCATTTGAGTGTCTATAAATATCCAATTATAATTAAACAATTGATAAATATGTTTACTTAACGAAATATTATTCATTAAATGCATGCCGATATATTTACATTCCTTGATGAACAATAGTGGTTTAGACCGCGTTTTACGGAAGATATTTTAGTGTTTTATAAACTGTAGGGTATATTTGTTATTGTTTAGGATTTGTGAGATATTCAGTCATATTTACAAATAGTTATTCCCACGGTATTACAGGCACTGACCTCCGTTTAGCGCTGTCTTCGTCGTCAACGGCTCGTTAAAACTACTTGGCTAAACCATAGACTTAGTCTATGGACTAAAACATTACGCGATACGGACAACTGTCAACTGAAATATTCTATTTACAAAAATATTATAGGTAGCAAGAATAGATAGTGGAGGTAATATAGAAGGAAAATATTTCTTTATCAAGGCCAATAGAATCTATTATTGCATACGAAGGTTTTAGTAGAGTTCTGTACTTGGACACTTTGCAGTGTACTGGAAAAGTTAAAAGAAGACGAAGGAATTTAGAAGAAGAAATGATTTAGATTGAAGTTGATCTTATGGTATACTTAAATAATAAAATATTCTAATACTATGCGTATGTATAATCTTAGAGGCTAATTTTAAATAATTAATTGCCTATGGTAATCGAATCAACATTACTTGAGAAAGAATTTCAATCAAGCTTTGTAGGTTCTTTAAACCGTGACATAAATAGATCTACCATTTAATTATATCTTAGGAGGCAAAAGCATTCAATTTACAGGGTTTTAGTTCATTGCTGTAGCTGGGTCCACCTCACACAAAAACCCTTATGTCTACTGAATTTTGGTTCAGTTTTGAATAATAAACAAACTTAGAAATTATTTAAGCTGCAAAATCCAAACTTATCGACAAACAGCATTTTATAATAATCAGTATTAGTAAAGCAATAATCTAAAACTGAAATAATAAAGGTAATGATTAGCGTTACACCACACCGGGTACTCCAGTTGACGGCTGTGCGTTACCTTCGTTGACAGCGCTAAAGTCAGTCCCAGGCGGTGACGGCGCGCCGGGCGGGGTGGGCGGGCTCGGCGGGGCCAGGGTGGGGGTGGCAGGGGTGACGGTGGTGGCAGGGGTGGTAGTGGCGGCGGGCGGGGGAGGGGGCGGTGGTAGTGCGGGCCGCACTGGACACAGGCAGGGGCTGGAGTCCGCCAGCCTTCGCCTACCGTCGCGTCGCCGCGGGCCGCTCTCTGGTGACAGCGTCTCCGTACTACCTGGCTGCCCGTTGTCACTGCTGTTCATAAACATTTTGTATTAGTCTCTAGTAAATTAGTATTAGGACTTGGCTGTGCACAATCGGGCATGAAATGGTAATTGTTTGCATGCCATTACAAATTTCGACCAGGCCACAGTAAGAATTGGGATGTGAACCCACGTCTTGACTTATGGATACAGGCTTGATTGATTTATACAAATACATAGCCTATGCCATTAAATTCATACGTTTGTTTTGTTTGTTAGACGTACCATTTCAAACATAAGTATAAGAATAAGAACTCACCAGTTGCTAAATCCAGAGTCACCATCCATAGAGTCAGTCAGGTAGAAGGTGGAGTTGGTGATTTTCAGGGCGCTGGGCACTTCGGAGTTAATATCCACAGCCAACGAGGTGGCGCGTCTGAACCGGGACTTGAAGGAAAAGTACGCTTTCCTGGATAAAGTCCCACTGTCCTTCTTTATTGTCTCATTCGTCGGGACTGTGGGAGTCACAGGTTTCTCAGGCGGAGGTTTATCCGGCAACGGAGGAGGTACATCTCCATAACTCGCTCTCTTATCTGAAATAACAGTCTTCAATTCTTCCTTCAACGACCCGTATACCTTTGCCAAGGGAATTTCAGTCTTATTTTGTACAAGCCGGGTGTCCTTGAAGTTGATATTTGTGTACACGGGGTCCTGTTTCTCACAGTTGGCGTAGATTGGGGTTGGAGTCTTCTTCTTCGCTGTGTCGTAGATGTTCGTTGGATTGCTCGGGGATTTAGTAAACGGTTTGCCGTCCATCGCAACTGTAAGCACAATGTCTTGGTTAGTTACTTTCAAAAGACGAAAGTGGGTCAGTACCACATCTCCAAGATATCGGTAGATAAAATGATACGATATCGTCTGAATTATTTCATGATTACAGACTTATCTATGATACTTTCTATTCTTGCCGCCTGGCTAGACTCTGGGATAATATTGGAACATTTTTAGTGAGTTCATTCGATATAATAATATCCTACAGGAAATTTAGCTCTATGCAGTATTTATTATGATAAGAGTATGTATTTTATTTTTATATACTTCGTTTCAAATAATATACTAAAATAACAAAATACTAATATTATAAATCTGAAAGTGAGTTTGTTTGTTCCACCTTCACGCCGTAACTACTCAACCGATTGCTTTGAATTTTTGCAGACGTAAAGTTAGAAGTCCGGATTAAATAATAGGATACTTTTTAACCCGGAAAATTGATATTCCCGAGGAAAAACAAAAGTATTGGTATAGATGGCGCTGTGTGTATTGGTATATGTCATATAGGCTACTTTTTATACTTTTGTGACGCGAGCGAAGCCGCGGTAAAAGCTAGTAAACAATAAATAAAGAGATAACATGTATGATGCACTCGATAATTTCGACATCTTGTCTAACATCCGATATGGTCTAGTGGCTAGGATACCTGGCTCTCACCCAGGAGGCTCGGGTTCGATTCCCGGTATCGGAAAATCTTTTTGTACGTTTTAAAATATTTAAAATATTTTTTTAATTACCTGTGTATCTTTTAGTGAGATTTCGTTTGATTTGTCTCATTTTTCTTTGAGCTGCGCTGGCTATTTTGGTCAGGGTGTACTGGCCGCCTCCGGTGGGCGGGTTGGGTAGTCGGGATGCAGGTAAAGACGGCGTTGTTGGCGCATATGTTGACTGGAATAAAAAATATAAAAACAAAAATTAAAGAAAATACAACAATTATTAATTTAAATTACATGAAACAAATAATTTGTCTGTAAGAATACTAACAGCCATTATATTTTTTTATATTTCCCGATTCACTAACGTGCTTCTTGAGAGTAAGAGCAAAGCAAACTAATTTATTGTGACACATCAATACATTGTATTTTCCCCACACAAACATGAAATGTTAGTACGTAATAGACCTTCAATGAATATTATTATATTATTTTCCTCAAACTACTACGGTAATCCCGACTACATACTATTTTGTAAAACGCTTACTAATTTTAAGGAAGCCAACACAAGACACAAAATATAAGTAAGTTCAGACCCCGTTCATAGAGGGCGCTACCAGCTCTGTATATTTGTGGAATGTATTTTATAAACTTTTGTATTACTGGTTGGGATGGAAATTGAATACAAAGTAAATATTAGAAAACTATCCAGAGTGACTAACTACCTACTTATAATCAATACCCAAATAGATACAGCTAACAGTCTTCAATCTGATTATATTTACAACTTTATTCATATAGCGATAAAGTCGTAAATCTATTTGCACAAATTAGAATATTATGTTGAAGTAAATTTATTTGACTTATTGCTTATTAACTTAAAAATATCAATATTTACCTTATCGTGGTCATCTGTATCGCTGTCACTGTCGAAAGAGTCGAAGTCTTCCTCTATTGGTATGGGAGGGGGGGCGTGTGGGGGGTGTGTCTGCGTGGGCGCAGGCTCCAGCGACTCGTACAGGTGACCCGAGTCGCTGCTGTCACATTCTGTTGATAAACAAAAGAGACAATTAAATAAAAAGTACATACATACATACATACAAACAGCTTTTGGACACAAAATCATCACCTTGGATAAGGAGAGAGGGACAGTCATATTTTTATTAACTATAAACCACCTCCTTCCTACTTATGCTTAGGTAACTTATATATATACAAAATAATCTATCTATATTTGAACAATGTCTTTTGTTTTAATAACTACAAAAAAATTTTTTGTCTGTTTTTAGTCTGCGCTTGTGACTCATCGAATGGTAAGGCTCGCTTCCTAATAAGTAGGTATGTGAGATTTATAAAAAAGTAGTGGGGATGTCATATTATTATATCTGTAGATGTGCACCATGACGCAATAATGTATAGAGTATAGGCGTGATGTTATGATGGTAAAAATAATAACAGAATTTAAAATATAAGTAGATTAAAATATACGAAAATCACGATAATTCTGGGCTAAGCTGAACACTACGGGAAAGAGCACGCATTAAGGAAATATAGTATGAGCTATGACGTATTAACTTTGACGCAACAAAATTACAACAATATGCACCAACTATGTGATGTACATAGCTATAAATGTTTAACTGTTATTCAGCCAACGTAGAAGTTCTAATAAAATTCCTATTGCGCCATCATTCGGTTGTTTTCCTCAATAGAAATGTTATTGGTAGAAAGATTGATTTTCTTTTAAATTCATAAAGTTTAATAAAAGTTATTTGTTTCAGTTTGTCGCACATTAGACCATTCGTTTCGCGCGGCATCATAACTTTATCGAGTTTGAGCAAATTATACAGTACAACGCCATCTATGGAAGCGAGACAAAAATATTTTCTCTTTGGTTTCTTGCTTTTGTTTATTTGTTTTTTGTTATAAATTAATTAAATATTTACTATTTTCTTAATTATCTGGATATTATTGCAGAAACTATTTAGTATTCTTTTTTTATTTGTGAACTGTTCAGGTTAATTAAAAAAATTGGCTAGAACCGGAAAACCAGACTAGACATTAATTATTACTGGTAAAAATTGAGTGCTTCGAGCTTGAGTTTCTAAAATCCTTTCTAATGCAACGCTTTTTGTAATAAATCTGAAGACTACTTGAATTTATAGAACATCATAATTAATCAAGTCAAGAATTTCTCGGTTTCGCAAAAGTTATAAATTAAATTAAATAGAAAACTAACACACTCGTAAATCATAATTTAAATCGACTGTTAATCTGTCAAACACCAAGCAGTCACCGGTGACCGCGACCTATTGTTCTTTAATTGTGTCTATAAAACCGGTACTCGACGAGTTAATTTGAATTATATAATTAATTAAAAAAATGTGACAGTTAAAATGCTGGTGTATGGTCAAGGTTTGCGGCGACCCTCGTGACATGCGCATACGCATCCGGTAACATACAGGTTGGTACTTACAACCACTCTTGCGCAAGTAAGTATTATGACATTCAACATAAATTGTTTGGTTACATCGATGAAGTTTCCAAAGATAGTAAGTAAGCTATATTGTTGTAAATGAGTAGCAGGAAAGATATTCTTAAATAATCACGGAATTGTGTCTAAAGGGGCTCCTAAAAGTAATACTTATATTATTCTGTATTATGTTTCTGCGACATAGTGACCCAGCAATATTGCAAATAAAATAACACGGTTATTGTAATGATATGGGTACAAATAATTCAATAATATCTCATTGTAATATGCAATGAAAAGGATTCCTTTCTTTTGTAATTGAGATGAAAATCTTGACTGATTAGTAGAGAATTTTTGTATTGATGTTTATAATACCTACTGCATTTATATTGTTAACTAACAAATTCTGTTTGTCCAATATACGTATGATAAGTACGGATGTATTTATATGAAAGGGACATCCTTATTAAATCGGTTCTGCGAGAAAGAGACAGTAACAAAAGTCCCTAATCCATCTGTTAGTGAACTTAGTACCCTAAGTTATTAATAAATAAGAAGTATTATTAATATACATATTAAGGTCTTTAGTCCCTTCGTTACATTATATAATATCTGTCGCCGCATCTGCCATGTTCGTTAAACAACTCTTGCGCAAGTTGCGGTCGATGAAACACGAGATCGTATTAAATGGTTTTCAGCATTGCTTCATTCGATCGTGTCGTGTGTTGTGTATTGCTGCATCGTACGACATTGTGTTACCAATTACTTGAACAATTTTGTTAAGACATAATTAGGTTTCAAAAGTATTTGGGCATAAGATTACGAATAAGAAACATATATTATTAAACCACAATTGATTAAATATTTAAAGAAAATAAGAAAAATTTAGGAGAAGTATTTATAGGCACTTCAATTGGTTGATGCAAGTGAGGTTATTTTAGCACTAAAGAATAAACATGCAGTGCTAATAAAGTCAAACAGGGAGTTTTGCAAGACTGAATCAACGTCAGTCACTGACCCCACCGTTACATAACGTCTCTAACTGGCTATTACATTCTTAAGCGCAAGCTAACATTACATTTAACGTATAAGTAAAATAATGAACCTTTTGACCACATCGAGTAAAAAAACTCTTTTTGAAAAAACTTCTTTGGTGATTTTTAAGACAAAGAGAGTCATGAAAGCGGCTATACACGTAAAAACAAAATCCTCCTTGGTGATTTAAAGACAAAGAATGAAGTGAAAAGAAAAGGAGTTTTACACATTAATGGAAAAAGCCTCTTTACTAAAAAACTGAGTGAAGGACATGCATTCAGCCATGTATGTAAATTCGTCGCCGCTTGTAGGATCTGTGGCAACTTTTGCGAAATCTGTGGTCGGGCAGACTGTGGTTGCAAAGCTACAAGTGTTCTGTATGGTATGACTGATTGAGTCAAAGATTTGCATCATGAATTAACTGTGTCCATATATAATGGCAGCTTATGTTACATTATGGTGACTCTATATCATAAAACTGTTATTTTAACGGTATAAAAAGCTTTATTCTTGAACTCGCGTGAAAAATTGGCGAAAAGATTTGTGAACATATCTCATACTGAAGTAAAAGGGCAGGTAATTAATTAAGGAATTACTATCTACCATGTTCCACCACAATCGTAACCAATTTTGTTCAAGGATATCGGCTCTATGTAATGTACTAACTATCGGAATGCACGATCTTACTAACATGTAATTGAAAACCATTAAAATTAATGCGGAAGAGCCTTAATAACAATTTGGCGTACATAAAATACAATTATTATTATTAGTACTTTTAATGCATGAAGCATGATTCACGAAATCAATTTATTTGGTACTTGTATTATTTTAAAAAGTGTAATGCCTCCTTAGTTTAGTGGCCATAAAAATATCTATTGCTAAGCTAGAAACTAGGTTCTGTAGACTAGGGTACCTAGACAAGTGACAACCGCTTTGAAACGTTTAAAATTGGAGTTTAAATTAAATTCACCACGGTCTATTTCAGAAGCTTAGATCAATGTCTATGCAAATATTTTATTCAGACCTTATTACACACATGATATTTAATCTGGAAAAACATAAATTAGATCGAAAGAAGTCAGAAAAAGTAAGATACTAAAAAATAACAATTTCCAAATTACACTTCAATATCAAATCGTATTTTTTATTACGCCCATATGGCAATAAACGGTAATATCACTGTCACAGATAATAAATAACGCCATTAGACAAATCCAACAACATACTGGCACATAATAATTGCAATAAAAAGATTTGGTTATCGAGTGACCAGCCAGTACTTGATCAATTGAATAGATACAGTCAGTCAATAATGAAACGTTGCGTTATAATCTGTATCTTTTTGGACATGTTTGAGTCATAGTCATAGGCAAAAGTTTATTGATGACATACATGTTTAAGGATCTATATTTTGTAACTGGTGGTTAGGGGTTTTTCCAGTTTATTGGAAGTCAAGGTTCTTAAGCGTTGTTAGGTCATAGAAAATATTCAGATCTTATAGAATAGATCCGTAACAGTATACCATTTTTGTCACCAAACCTTTGAGTTTTATTTGGATCGAATATTGTGCCTTAAAAGCTTATCCATTTAAGCTGAACTCTGGCCTTTTTGCGCCGTCTTCACTGTATTAATTTTATTATGGGTGTGTTTTTGTACTTTGTGACAGTGTACAAATAATCAATTTTTCTTTTATTCTTACTTTCTTCTTCTTTCTAAAACCTTACCAACATACAAGTGACTGTAATTTTCCAGTTCATACATAATAGAAAACACATCTGAATATACTCATTCGATATTTATTCAATTAGCGATGGAATACGGTCATGATGACCAAGAAGCACACAGGCCATGGTGACATAAAGTACGTAATACCACAGGTAATACACAGATTACATTTGCCCTTGCATTTATAAATAAACTAAAGGAAGTGGAATGACTAGATAATGATCGATGCCTTTGACATTTACAACCGGTTTAAATCAAAGTCCTAAGCATACTTTGAAAGTTCCAATACTACAAATTATTGACGTCAGATAAATAGAAATCGAGATGCCAAACAATTTATTATAGGTTAAAAGGAAAAATGCGAAAACTGCGATCGTAAGTGATAACTTAAGTACACGTCATGAACGCGTTTTTGTAATTTCACTTTCTTAGCAGGTGAACAAGTGCGTCTATTATGCGAGACACGCGAGCCATTATACAATGAATTTAATTACAGGTATTGAACTAGAAACTGTCTTCTCGAATTAAGAAGATAAATGGCTTAGAGGCACAATAAGTATCAAGGTAACTGTAGCCAAATCAACACTTTGTCCAGTTTAGAAAATATTTAAAAAGTTCAAGTGATTTCATATAGGTACCTTATTCAAAAGTAGGACACAATAATAATTTCGGATACGGAGAATGAAGGCATAATAAAAACAAAAAGCGAAAAACTATTTAAGAATAACACTCAAATGACACTAGCTTACCTAGAGATAGATATTCCACAACTTCATTGAACCATAGCGCACGAAACCGAATCGGGGAAGCATAGTTTAACAACTTCATCAATTCTACAGTTGAACACATATAATAACATGCACTTATCACTCACTCTCATTAAATATAGTTTTTCACAACATGATCTAGATGAGCACGTCTATCAAGAGTATCGAGTAGAAAGCTAGAAAGTGCACGATCGAGCTGTGAGCCGTTCTTACACCTAATGATACAGTGCACGGTGTCATTACACGCATATAAAAGACATGAATACCCATAACACCTAACATCCGAGTTATGTTGACAAACAATCAGACAATACGATAGCATTTTGCAATATTTTCCCAATTGAAATTGGATTTGTTTAAGATCCCATTGAAACGTTTGATTGTTTTGACTGCCAACGAGTAACATAGCGCGCACTACCGGAGTCAAGAATGTTGACTATTGTTTTGTCAACTAATTTAACCTAACCTAACCGTTCGATCGAAAGTAGCACAGCACTTATTATTTCCCCACAAAAGGTCACAGATTACTTTAGTGAAAACTAAAATAAGACCAAACAAAATCAATTTGTACAAGTAAACGCAAGTACCGAAAAATGCGATGAGGTCTTGTATTTCGAATTCTCCATCTTGCAGCACAGTCCTGAGGTCGAGTCGGCAGGTCCGCTCCAGCACGTCGATGAGCCGCACCCGGTCCCCCAGGTCATCTCGCGGCCTGCGCGTGCGCTCATCGTTCTGGCTGTAGTACGAGCACTTGGCACTCGTGTCGATGTACACCTTAGTCGGTGACGTTACGAACACTACAAAACAAATGACGGTCGTGGTGACAACAGGCCGAACATCCCAGGTCAATCGATTTATGATCACGACTCAAGTTAATGCCGTGAAATGGACGCGGTCATGGTAAATATTATCGATGTTTTTCAATGCCAAAAATGAACACTAATGTTTTATGGAAATTCAAGAATGTTACGAAATTCGCAAAACGTGTTTGTTACTTTATACAAACAAGTTTCTGCTAGTTTAGTGCAAGGTTTTTGGCAATTAAGACTAAAAAGAATCTTAAGTCATGTCATAACTGGTTGAATAATTGACCATGTATCGAATAACAATTGGGATAATTAATCAGCCTGGTGCACCTTGATCGCCACAGTTCCTCCGGAAAGTCCGCGGCCTCGGCGGCGGCGGGCCGACGCCACCGTTCATCTGAGGTCTCTCGTAGATCATTGTTCTTCATCATCGGTATCACATCACATCACTTCACGAGCACAGAGCACTAGATCGAACAAAGAACGCTTGTTCAGACATCCGCTTGCACTATCAACGAATAATATAGAGTTTCGTTCATAATGTTGATTCACTGTACATTCAATTAAAGTTTGAGAGGACTGGCTTCCTCAACGGAGCCGCGTGATCAAGTTATAAAAAGCGAAACAAGTCGTCGGCAGCTGCGTTGCCGGCCGTCTCAGGGTCGACTGGTACCACGATTGTACGGATCGACGTTTGCATCGCCACGACTATCGAGAACCGCTGATTTTTTCACCGTTTCAATGCTAAGCGAAGTGGTATCGCAATGTGCTACAAAACATTTGTAATAGTTGGCCTGACATTGGATGTGGTTAATGCACCTAAATTGGTATTTGAAAATAGTTAGCTACGCTTCAGTGCACAAAAGCGTTTGGTTCTACAATAACACTTGTGTACGATTAATATCTCAAACATTCAGCGTTATTTTTCTTGATCTCGTGAGGATACCACCTGGATAAATGATAACTTTAATATTTAATCAGTTCTTAGGATGTTACGAGAAAGTGTTACAGTTATTAGATAATATTTACGACTACAAGTTATGGTGTAATTGCAAAGCGAGTTGTGTTTGTATGTATGGCGTTGCAATCAGAGCATTGCGGCTTGCGAAACAATGAAGGCCTAGCGCGGCGCATAATCTGTTCCGCGGAAAGAGAATTGTATCATTTACAGAACTGCATATTCGAGTGAGCTGCAGGCGGTGCTAACTATTTACACTAATACTAAGTGGGCTGATGGTATCGTTGTACGGGTAGTACTAATAATAGGAGAGTAACAAGTTAATAAGGAACTAACGGACAATGATCGCTATGACAATGCATTTACAATCAGAGATGTGTAACAAGATGCAACGCTGCATGTTACAACACGATCAGATAAGTAGACTACTAAGAGCCTGCGCATAACAGAACTGTAATTGCTTCAATTATCGAGACATTACGTCTAGGCGGAGACACTTTCTAGATCTGGAACAACAGATAGAATGACAATACTGTCTTTGTCTTGTTTTTTGCCGCGAAATGCAGTGAATTGAATTGAAAATGTTTCGAAGCGGTGAATATTAATGCGAAACCGAAAAGAAATAAAACATGAAATGAGTTTCAATTTCAATATTTGTCGAGACGTTGTGCAACGGAATTTAAAGGCATATACAATGATATTCAGATTACTGCCATTAATATAGTTGAAGTGGTTGTAAATTCGACCGTGTCTAACAGTTGCGGCTCAAATCGATTGTTTCTGGTTCTATGCAGTTCGATTAACGCTGTATAATCGTTGGTTATTAGACTCGAGTATTAAAGGTACATGTAGTGGAATGCGATGAATGTAGATTTACTAAATAAGGTAGCATTTGTTGGTGGAATTCCGTTCGGCAGTTGTCATAGTTCCGGCTGGGCGCAGACACTGCGGGTCAATAGTCTACAAGTTGCTCACGATTCTTGCATTTACTCTAAGATTCACTTATAAAGTGCAAATGCTCTCATTTTCATTCTTATTTCTTGTGGAAAGTGGTTTATACTCGAAAACGATTTTGTTTGTTGAATCATCTTTCCTCATAATTGCCATTATTTAAATATTGATTTAGAAAGTGTCGGAAACCCTTTTTTCTTCCGTTCTGTATGTGGCTTCTGTCGCATGATTTATTTACCAAAACTGGTTCTTACGATTAACGTCTTCCGTGATTTGAGTGTAACATCGTTTTAAATGCTGAGCACTTGATTGAAGATATCAAATGATCGTGAGAAGAATTTATTTGTGTGGAGATTGTTTAAAAATCTTATCGCAAAGATTGTGATTACGTCACATTCTTCAAAATTTTAAAAATACATTCATTGTCCTCATAAAATAGAAGATTATGGATGGACGCGCCTAAACAGTTAACCGATTGTTAATTGCAATCAAGTGTCCAACGAAAGGATATATTATGCAAATAGCAATTGCGACACTTCAAGGTGGACAAGCGTTAGGAATACATGAAAATTGTATGAAGCAACCACTTGTAACTTTAAACTTTGTTGACTTTGATGGAGCCGAACGAACCGTGACCGAAGATAATGTGTAAAGTAGCGATAAAGAAACACTAGAAAGTAAAAAAAAACATTAAACGCTAGTAAATATTATGTTCTAATGTTTGATGTTTGTAGGTGTTCGCAACGGTTTTTGGTCGGAAAAGAGACCGGCCGGCTAAACTTACACGGATGTTACATGGAAACAACAGTATGAACGAGAAATATTTAGGTTGATTGCAACACAATGCAAGATGATGCTGAAGTTTACAGTATTCACTGACATTTATTCACAATGTTAACAGTCCGTAAACACGAATGAAGCACTTTCACTGTCGCGGGTGTGGAGCGCCGGTGATGGCAACGCGTCCGCTCGGCGGCGCAGGCGCAGGGCTGACTCGCGCGCGCACACCGCCGTCGCCACTGTCCCTCTCCCACGCGAGAACCTTTTGTGGCAACTGTAGCAAACGTGTAGGTGTACCAGAAACACCATTTAAGTAACACCCCTAATCATGAACAAGGTAAAATGATGCAGAAATGACAGGCACGACGTCATCGCAGTCCTTAATAGTAGCAACAAGAAGGTCGCTTGGATTGTAATAAGACAAAAAAGTTTGCAAATACTGTCTGATTATAAGAGATAGGAACGAACAAAGACACAATTATAAATAATAACAACTTAGATACAACGTCTATTGCAGTCCTCAGTAGAACAAGATAGTACAAGAAGGAGTAGGCTGATTCAGCAAAACTACATTTTAGAAAACTGGTCCGGTTAGTCTGTCCATGAGAATTTAGGCCGATACGGTATCAATGAAGCTATAAATCAGTGTTACTGGCAAGTAACGAAAATGAGATATCGATAAACAATGCTGTAAGGCAACTAGTCGAGCTATTCACTGAAAAACTTGGCTGTGCTGGGTAAATAGTCGCTAATTGTGCGAGAAATCTAGGACATTGCGCTCGTTACTGGGTAATGACATAACGCTGGAGTCGCCCCAAGTGGAGCAGGTAAATAATTGATCCCACGTTCGACTTCATTGGTGAATTTGGCATGTTTTGCAATTACGTTATCAGATTAAAGATTCTGCACATTTACTTGCCTTAAACTTGCATTCAATTCATGTGCAGCTTCGAGTTATTAGCTTTCAATTGATTGGCCAATGAAGGTTGTAAATGCTAGAGGTAGATAGCATCGCCAAAGCAATAATACTTGGAACACTGCGAAATGTTTCGATACATTTTCTAGCGTTGGAAATATTGGGCCATCGTTGAATTTTCGTAACCTTTTTCAGTGAGCTATTGTGGTATCATAAATTGAAGTTGCTAGTTTGTAGTAAATGGGAGGTGCGTAAATGTCGTAAATTCCAAAATCACACGGTTTTGCTAAAATTCGTGATGACCACACACGACCAACACAATGATAACTACAACCTCATGCAACGTAACCGATGCATTGTTGCCTGCATTGAAAATGATTCCCACAATTATGTCTTTAGCTGTTATTTGTTAAAATTGTCCAGTGAAAGCTACGAAATAATGGTTTCGGATGATTTTTCGTAATTTTCTACAATTCAGAAAGCCACTTCTCACTATGTCCTTCATTATTACTTACTTATTGTATTCCCTCTCACTATTAGGTAGGTACTCAATATTGTCTCATTGTACCTGTACCGTAAACATCATTTTATTGTCGTTTTCCATGCTATTGTGATGATCATGTCAAGTTATAATCAGCATTAATTAGTTTTGTATTAACATTTTTGTAGTTTCATTTCTTTTTTAACTGCAATTTTTTTGCGACAAACATTTTATTAAAATGGCGGCACGTGGCTGTTTTTTGTAAAGCTCATACTTATTTTTAAGGCCAAGGATGAGTAATATTAAAGTACTGGGCGACGTAACGTGAGAAGGCACGCTCATTATGCCTTGAATGACAATACTTGGCGAAGAATTCTTTTGTCGTGTGGATTTGTTTGATAACTTACGATCTTATCTTATTGGCCTATGTTCATGGACTCTATTACCTCACACGTAAATAAGACGCCATATGACTTGATGCTATTTATTTTTCATATTTATCAAACAATGCTCATTACCTATTTCCTTGCAACGCCAGATTTCCTTATTTTTATTTGGCCATTGCAAAAATCGTCATCACGACAGTCATGCTCACATATTTTTATTGTAACTATAAAGTATCAAGTAATAATTTTAATTAATTAACAATACCTGCTAATTCAGTGTTATAAAACGAAACGAAAGTTTGTAAGGAAATAGTTATTGTGCAGAATGTTTATTCGTATGTTCCGTGGAGAAAAGAACATTAAAGAGTAAATGTAGCGTGGTTGCTGATGCAAATGATTGTTCCTCAACCGATCACGAAGTTCAGTTCAGGAAGGAGACTGATACACTGCCAGGCTCCATAAACAAGGAGTTGTATAACGAACACAATGATGTATGTAAATTCATGAAGAGGAAGGAAG